GGGCCGGGTGCGCGTCCCTTCAGCGGTGAGAGGGCGCGGGCGGGCCCTGCGGCGAGGCGAGGCGAGGCTCGGGAGAGTCCGTGCGCACGTGCGCGCTCAGCCTTGCGCTTTGCTCGGGGGCTCAGTTACACGGCGCAGAAAGAAACCACCACATTCGCGGGCAGCCGGCGCTGCGGGACCCCCGTCACAGTGTCTGAGCGTCCGCTGGGCCTGAGGGGGGCACAGTTGTGCAAGTGGAGACAAAACGAGTGCTCAGCACACCTGGCGGTGGCACCCTGGGGCTCCAGGCAGTGAGGGGCGCAGAGGCCGGGAGGGCAGCCCCCGCACAGCCCTGGTCCAGCCCCTCCTGGCCGCCTGTTTTCTCCACCCGGGTGGCATGCGTGCTGCCCAGAGCTGGTCCCCAAGCTGGCAGTGCGGGACAAACGTCCCAATCCAGTTAGTGAACCCTAAGAAAGGCTCTGCTTAGGAGGCAGCTCCTGGGGAGAGGTCCCAGAGGTATTAAGTGTCAGAGGCAGGTCAACAGGCCAAGCCCCCGGGGAAGTGGATGAGGTGAGTCTGTCACTGCGCAGAGACCACATGAAAATAGCCCAGCAGACAGGAGCCTGAGCGGGCGTGACCTCTAACCTGCCGTGACAGAGGCTGGTTCAAACCCCAACTACTCTCCTGCCCTGTTACAGTTTTCTGGGACTGGGTTTGCTTCTCTATGAAATGGGGGTGACACCCTTCCCCATTGCTTTGCAGGTCAGGGCAGTGGTTCAGCCCCAGTGAAGAGGCCCCAGAGTGTTTCTGTATAAGCTGAAGGGCCCATCGGATGTGCCCATTTCAATTAGGAGAAACCCTAACAACAGATATGAGCTCCGCCCCTCACCATCTATGGCCCCTAACCCTGACCCACCCCAATCCCAACACAGCAGGGCCTCTCTTCCTGTGGGAGGGGCTGGCTCCTACCGCCCTCTTACAGTGACATGTGTCTTCCTGGCTCCTCCTCCAGTCTCCCCAAAACCCCAGAACTGACACTCTCACTTGAGACCCAGCTGAGGCTTCCAGAGTGCCAGGGCCAGGAAGATATAGTATTCACCTGTCTCCACACATCACACAGCCTGTGAGGATACCTCCAGACGGGGCTGGGCACAGAGGTCTGGGCAAAAAACCCCTGGCAGAGTCCTGGGGAAATGGGGGGGGGTTCAGTGGAGATGTCTTCCCACCCCCTGTGTGGGCCAGACCCTGGATGGCAGCCAGACGGTCCCTGCTCCCCAAGAACAGGGGGTGCCCTGTGAACCAGACGACAGTAAGGGACTCTGATGGGGGGAGGACAGTGCTCCTGGAAGGGATGGGGGGGACTAGGGGGCCTAACACAGTCGTTTCCCCAAGATCAAAGCCCAGAGGCAGGGCTGTCAGGGTCCCACGAGGGTCCAGTGAGAGGCGTCCTGCCCGTGGGCACCAGGTGGTGCGCCTGGCCACATGGACCCCCACAGCTGTCTTTAAGGGGGACTGGCATCCACCTTCTCTGCCGCCCTGCCCACTGCCCAGAAGGCAGCCTGTGAGTGGAAGGTGACTCTGGGGCTGGTGGGCTCGGCTCGCAGCACGTAACCCAGTCTCCAGGGACCACGAGTCCCACCCGTTTGGTGAGGAGGAAGCCAAGGGGGGCAATCCAAGCTTGCATGCCTCCGGGCTTCACACACCCCGTGGGTGTGGAAGCCCACGCTCCAGCTGGCACCACTGCAAGGCACAAGGGATGGGGCACTGGCTGTCAGCAGCCACTGGCCGAGTCCCGTCCCTCTGAGCCCCCCAGGTGGTTCGGCTGAGCAAAGTGGGTGCTGACTCACGGGAAGGAGGGCTGTGGTTGGCACAGGAAGGTTGGGCAAGGCCTCCCCCTCTCTGCGGGCTGGAAGGGATGCGCAGTTCCTCAAAACAGAGAAATGTGCCCAAGAGAAATGAAAACATACGTCCACACAGAAACGTTACAGGAGTGTTTGTTTATAGCAGTGTTGTACTTGACAGCAAAAAGGTGAAAATGCCCTGGCTGGTTGGGCATCCTGTGCACTGAGAGGCCACCAGTTCGATGCCAGGGTTGCAGGCTCGATCCCCGGTTCGGGGCGTGCAGGAGGCAGCCGATGGATGTTGCACTCTCACATCGATGTTTGTCTCTCTCCCTCTCCCTTCCCCTCCGATGAAAAAGGAAAATGACCTAAATGTCCGTCAGCAGATGCACGTGGCCGGTCCATACAACGGAATGTCTGTCGTTCGGCCATAAGGAGGAATGTGATAAAGGCTGCAACGTGGGTGAACCTGGAAAACATTGTGTAAAGTGAAAATAGGCCACATAGTACGATTCCTGTTATATGGTACACCCAGAACAGGCAAATCCAGACACACAAAGCAAAGGATGGGGGGTGGGGCAGGGAGTGATTAATTAATGAGCATGACACCCCTAGCACCCCATCCAATACAGACACCCCAAGCCCCACCCCCATGTTAAGGGCCATGCCTAACACCCACCCGGGCAGAGAGCCCAGGTGAATCAGGCCAGGCTGGGCAGGCTGGCTGGGGGCCCGGCCTCTGCCCACGGCTGGGCTGGCCAAGTAGTTAATATGTTATTTTTTCTGAGAGCCTGAAGAGATTTGAGGAAAAGGCCCTGCAAGGGGAGTGGCTGGAGACCCCTGGCCCTGGTGCCAGCCTGCTCTGGCTGGGGGAGGGTTCTTTGCCCTGGCTGACTTCTCCAACCTGGAGCCAGGGAAGTTGTGGCCACAGGTGTGGAGGGATAGGGATGACTGGCTGGATACCAGGTCCCTAAGGAGAACAGGGTCAGGAACCTGGACCCCAGGGCAGGGGTCACAGCTTGGCAGACATGCCCATCCCATGACTCAGCTTTCTTCACTTGACCTGGCCTAGCCACGGGTGGTGGCAGCCGGCTCTGGGTGCAGCACAGGCCTGGGAGGGTTCGTTCCCAGGGCTTGAGAATGGGGAGGTCTGCATGGCCCCATCAGGCCCCTAAGGTTCCCTGGCACCCCAGATCTGTCCCACCACCCTCCCTGGGGTGCTTTGACCCTCAGAAGCTTCTCCAGTTTTCCAACGTCATTTTCAGAACTCCTCCACCTGCACACACAGGCCGAATGGAGGTCCCGGCCCTTCTCCGGCCTATCTCCTCCTGACACAGAATGCAGCTGGGAAGGCGCAGGGCCCCCTGGAACCGCAGCCTGCCTGGAGAGTGGCTGGGGACAGCCCTGGATGCCCCTCGGAGCACATTCCAGTGACTTCGGACAATTGGAACCAAGGATACAGAAAGGAGAGTGGGTCAGGTGGGGCGGTGGTCGCTCAGCATCCAACATAAAAGCATAGGCCTCAGGGGACTCGGCATCTCGGAGGGGGTGGGATGGTGGGCTGGGCCAGGAGGCCAGTTCTGCCCCCTTTGCTGCGTGGGGTGTGGGCCGCCCACGGCCCGGGGGTAATGCTGCGCCCCCCCAGCTGGGATCCATCTTTGCGATAAAGCCCAGAACTACCAGTGGCCTGGAGGCCTGGGCGTCATTCCCAGTTGGTTGGGTGCAAAGCGCTCCTGCGGCCCCGGCCCGCGCGCCCTCCCCAAAGCCGCGCTCCCTGGCTGCCCTCGAACCTCAGCTCTTTCCAG